CAGGAGGAGCTACAAATAAAAGGTCTATGCCCTTGGACTCGGGCGGAGGGGGGGTTGTGGTGATTGCAATGAGGTCAGCCAGGTGGACCTTATTGAATATCAATGTCAAGGAGTTTCCACGTGTAAGTAAAGGGTGACTTGGTTGCAGGATACCAGCCTCCGTGGAATTATTTCATGGATGGGTGCAGCTCCAACAACTCTCAAGAAGCTTGACACCATCCAGGGCAAAGCAGCCTGCTTGATTGGCATCACATCCACAAGCATCATGCACCATGCACCACTGACGCTCAGTAGCAGCAGTGTGTAATATCTACAAGGTGCACTGCAGAAATTCACCAAAAATCCTTACACAGCACCTTCTAAACCCACAACTATTTCCATCTAGAAGGACCAGGGCAACAGATACGTGGGAACACCACCACCTTCAAGTTCCCCTCCAAGCCACTCACCATCCTGACTTGGAAATATATTGTCTTTCCTTCACTGTCACTGGATCAAAATCCTGGAATTCCCTCCCAAATGGCATTGTGGGTCAACCCACAGCAGGTGGACTGCAGCAGTTCAAGAAGGCAGCTCACCACCACCTTCTCAAGGGCAACTAGGAATGGGCAAGAAATGCTGGCATCCCACAAGTGAATTAAAACAGATCCACACAACACTTAGACATGTATTCATACATAACACATACATACACACATACATGCAGACGTGTATTCACACATAACACACACACACACACATGCAGGCAGGCATGTATTCACACATAACACACATACACACAGACATGTCTTCACACTTAACACACACATACACACATGCAGGCAGGCATGTATTCACAATCCACACATTAGCACACAGACATGTATTCACATACATACATGCATGCAGACATGTACTCACACACACATCCACACACATGCAGACAGACATGTATTTACACCTACATGTATTCACACATAGACATGTATTCACACACACTCACACATGTAAGTAGCATGTAGACACACACAGCCCTACACATGCACGCCTGGATTGGACATTCACATGCACATTTGCTATTCTTGCCACATTCTGGAATAATCTGAGCATGTCTCTTGTCTCTGTCTGCCTAAAGGAATAAAGGAATAGCAGGTGGCATGTATGTAATATTTTAGCAAACCTCAAAACAAACATTTCCTTGTGATTCCCAAGCAGAGCATCTTTTGCATGTTGTTTCTGTTTTTAGCAGTTACAATATGCAAAGAACTATAGTTGATAATCTGTAATTTCCACATGGTGCCATTGATTTAATGATGTTGGTGGGGACATTGACTGCCAAGTATCAGGCTGCAGTGAGGGTTATGGAGTTTAACCCTTCGAGGAATAGATGTCAATCAACACATAAAGCCTGTCATTTACTTGGCTGATTTGTCCACTAACTGCCTCATAGTGCAACAACATGGACACCTCCCTCTCTGCATCTGCTGGGATATAATTTTGTTGGAGTTGTTTTGGAGCAGGCTGGTGTGTTCTAATAAAAACAAATATGCAGCATGAAATGTTCAAAGAACGCAATGATAATTGTAGCAAATGCTGCCAAGTGGGTCAGAGGACTGGAAACATCTGTGAGTGCACTGATGCCTGCTTGGGATGCATGTTCCAGCATTGGGTGTGAGACAAGAAGGATTGAAGTGGGCTGGGGTTCAGTGACCTGTGTCTGAATTGGCTGATGTCAGCCAGCTTGCAGAAAACTGATCTGAAAAGACTGGACTAAGGAGAGGGAAATGTATCTGTCACAGCTTGTGTTTGGAATGGTGCCTCTACCTAATCCTGGTATTTGGACGAGACCTATAGGGTCAGCATTAGGCAGATGTGTGGTTTGTGTGTGTGTCACCTTGCAGAATCATTGAGGGTCTCAGAACCACACAATCATTGACTTGTTACAGCACAGAAAGAAGCCATTCGGCCCATCATGCCTGCACAGGTTCTATGACCTAGTGCCAATCTCCTGCCTTTTCCCCATATTAATTTTGGTTTCTCTTATTCAAATTCTTATGGAAATAATTTACTATATATATATATCCAAATTGAGCATTCTGTTAGAGAGACCCGGCAGCTTTTAGTTTCAAAATCTGAATTTTCATTTTGCGGCCCTTAATAATTTTATTTCAGGCAAATGATCAGAGGGATTTCCTCTCAGCCACTGAACTGGGTAAAAATTCCAGACACTGGTGCCCTTTGGGTGAAAAAGCATTTCTTTATATCTGCATCTATCTACCAATCACCTTAAATCTCTGTCCCTAGTAATTGCCCTCGCCACCGAGTGAAACAGGTTTCCTCTGATCATTGTTCCAAGCTTTTCATTATTTTGTACTCTGCTCAGCTTCCTCTGTTCTAAGGAAAACAACCCCAATCTGACCAATTTTTCCTCACTGCCGTGGCAATATTCTTGTAAATTTCTTCTGTGTTTTTTTTAGGGCAATTAGATACTTCCTATAATGTGGTGACCAGAACTCCAGGTATGGCCTAACCAGTGTCTTATTCAGTTCCAACATTACATCCCTGTTTTTGTATTCATACCTTGTCTGATGAAGGAAAGCGTCCCATATGCTTTCTCCACCACCTTACCAACGGTCCTGCCTCCTATGGACTTGCTGTCCAAGGTCTCTTTCTTTCTCTCCCCCTCTTAATATCAGCCCGTTTATTGTGCATTTCTTTGCTTTGTTTGCCCTCCTCAAGTGCATAACTTTGCATTTCTTTGGATTGAATTCTATTTGGCACTTTTCCACCCACTGAACCAATCCACTGACATCTTCGTCCAGTCGTCAGTCATCCTCTTCACTCAACTACAGACCCACATTTGTGTTGTTTGCAAATTTCCTAATCATGTCTCCCACCTTTGAGTGTAAATCATTAAAATACAACATGAACAGTAGGGGACCCAACACTCAACGTGCAACATTTTTATTTTTATTTATTTTTATGGAGTTGCATTTAGCTTTCCAAAAGTTCTGCCCATCTGAAATGTGGCCATTTTGACAGCCCAGTGCTTCCTCATTTTATTTAATAAAGCAGCAGTGTGCTGTGTTTGATATAGAATTCTGGTCAGCCTTTCTAGGCAATTGGGAATATTACAAAGACTTAAAACAACTGATCAAATGCATGTATCAAGTCATATAGAGTTACATATTATAGTGTATTACACTGAATCAAGAACACAGGGTAGGTATAATTTTAATACATTCCATCAGAAATTTCAACAGCTCTTCTCCGGTAATTAGAAATCTCTTGGAATTCAAAAAAAAAGCAAAAGCGGTGAATGTAATCTTCTTATGCCTCTAAGAGAACAAAATGCTGTTTTGAGCTCTATCCCTTGTGCTGTGAGGTTGCCATGCTCTGCACAAACAGACACAGAACACTTTGCAGCTTCAGTACATTGCAGCATTGAACAATGAGCAGTGAGGACACTGTCCAAACCTCACATCCACGCCGATGTCTTGCATTAAAAAAAAAACACACATTTCCGCACCATGGTTACATTCTAAACATGGGGTTAGATGGTTCAACTGAATGAAAATAGCATGGAACTGTCAAAATTTATCAGAAAAAGGGCTGGATGTTTTATACATTAAAAGAATAGCTTTGCAGAGGTAGTCCAGCTCGAGTCCAGCTAGAACCTTATTGTTTTCATGCAGCCTGGCCGGCTATTTTTGGCACAAAATTAAAGTACTTTTATTATTGACACTACGTAATGCTGCAGTTCACAGAAACTGTGCCCAATTCTGCATTGAAGTGCTGGGACCAATTTACAAAATCACATCCTTTTCATACTTGTAAAAGCAGGGTCGGGCATTTACACACCGCATTCTGGACTGGCCGAGGCACAAGAACAAAGGTGAGTAAAGGCCCTTTGAAATGCATAACGCAGACGGTTAGCAATCGGCGTTTCGTAGAATACAGCCGTTTAAAAGCATCGGAGGCTTCTGGTTTTGTGGAGGATTTGTGGAGGAGAGGTCAAATCTGCTCTCACTGGTCAGACACAAAACGTTTTATAGCACGGTACCTGGATGGTGTGAAGCAATTAGGTCCCACTCACATCCCCAGAGACATGTCTGACTACCATTTGAGACATGTCTTTTGACACAATTCTGCTGGTAAACTGGTACTTTTTCTCCTGAAATAATTTAAAAAATGCTTTTGAGGATTAAATCTGAATTGGAAAAGCACAGATCAAAATTAATTGCTTTCTCTGCCCGAATATTGGCTTGCGCGGATGTGCTGAATAAGTCCAGGGTCATCCATTCGCAGTGCTAACAGAGAAATTGTGATTGGCTGTAATGTTTTGTTCTGTAATAGAATGCAGCATTATGTGAAAGTTTGATGAAACCTGCAGTAATATTGTGTAAGTGGTGCGTAACACAGAGAGCACTACTGTCTGGAATAAAATAATCATTGCAGAATGTTAAAGACCGCGTCTGCTTGGAGAAGTTAATTTTATTCTGTTATCTAATGAAGTGTTCGATCTGATGCAGAGCCTCATAAATGATGCAAGAAGTTAACCCTTAATGAATCCAATCATACACTTACCTGCCTTTTATTAATGGGAGTTTTAAGTTAGAGGTGGAGTTGGACTTTTAAAGTGAATTGCTGCCCCCATGTGTATGGTTTATTGGAATTAACTTGACCTGTCTCTGAGGGGAAATGTTGGATTTTTTTTTTCAGTTTCCAACTGTTACTTTCCAGTCTGGTTTCATAACAAGGAAGAAAGCTGCTCAGTGCATTTTCTGCTAAAATGAACTCATTAGAATTTGTTAGAAAAAACTTAAAATGAAGATTCAAAAATTGAAGTAAAGGGCTGGACCCCTGACAGTTTGCCCCAGCTGCCGAATGGCAACCAGCTTTACCATCCAAAGCAGGAGGAAAGGGTTTTTGTTTATTCATTCACGGGATGAGGGCGTCACTGGCTCGGCAACATTTATTGCCCATCTCTAATTGCCCAGAGGACAGTCATGAGTCAGTCACATTGCTGTGGGTCTGGACTCACATGTAGGCCAGACCAGGTAAGGATTGCACTTTCCTTCCCTATAGGGATATTAGTGAACCAGATGGGGCTTTTCCAACAATCGACAATGGACTCTTAATTCCAGATTTTTATTGAATTCAAGTTCCACCATCTGCCATGGCAAGATTTGAACTCAGGTCCCCTGAACATTGCCTGGGTCTCTGGATTAGCAAACCAGTGATAATACCATTAGGCCGTTTGAAAGGAATTTGCACTATTCCCTGTAATACTTTGGAGAATGGCTCTATCTCTTTGTTCTTCTATCTCAATCCAGAAATCACATCCGGTCTCTTACCCCTTCCTCTAACTCTTTTTGGTGAATACTTAAGTGTCATCTTGGTCCGCATATTTATCCCCACACCATCAGTGGATCTCCTAATGAGGATTTTATTACTCAGGGTATATATTATTGAAGGTATAAGGTAAAGTCACCATATTCCTACCAGACCATAGAGCTGCTCTGTCTTTTCAGAGAGAGAGAGAGAGAGAGGACTGGTGGCCATTTAACCTGAGGGTCATCACACCTCAGGCAAGGGGAGAGCTTGAGAAGGAGACTGCAAAAGTTATTTGGTAGTGCTAATCTTGACTATTGCCTTTAAAAGACCCTTATTATTGAGGCCATTTGCCTTGCACTCATCAGGACAATTCACAAGAATGCCAATGTAAAGAAAAGCAGCATTTGTACTGTGTGGGATGAGAGTGCTAATTGGTCAACAGGTAGAGGCATTGACATGGAGAATGCACCAGTTAATGATGATTGATAGTTAACTACCAGTTTTTTCCACCAATGTATTGTCTCCTGACCTTGACAAATGATCAGAAACAGTATTGTAAAGGAGGTGGTGGCAGCAGGAGAGTGTTCTATAATCCATTATTCTGGATCAAAGAATTTGTGAACCCCATTATTAAGATAAATTACAATAGATAAGTATCTGTCTAACTAAGTGATGACCCTGAAATGCAATCAATTAGTTATGAACAATGATGAATTTGGTTCAAAGTAGTCAAAGGGCATATATTAAGCAAAGGGAATGCATGAGTAGAGAAATGAGATGTCTGAGCCAGAAACTGACACTGCTATATATATCAAACCTTGTGTGGATCAGTATGGTGTGGAAGTGAATTATTTATAGGATTGAGATGAAATTTTTGAAAGTCGAAATTTGATTTCCTTGCTATTTTATGCAGAGAAAAATTAAAAGTGTCTCATTCCTCTTGGAATTTATACTTCAGACAGTAAGTTGGTTTGGTGACGTCAACAGACACTAGGCATTTCTATCAGGTTTTGGAAGACAAAGTCTATCTGTTGCAAAAATTATGATTTAAACACATAGCAACTCAATTGAGTAAATATGGTTCCTACAGTCCAACTCAAAGGCTGGGAAGTGTCACTGGGCTAGTTAGCCTGAACCCCAGGCTAAAGTTTTGGGCACATGAATGTGAATCCCACTATGGAAGATGACAACGTTCAAATTCAATAAAGCTCTAGAATTAAAAAGCAAGCCCCATTGTAGATTGTCAGAAAGCCCATCTAGTTTACCAATGCTTTCAAGGGAAGGAAATCTGCCATCCTATCCTGGCCTACATGTGGCTGCAAACCCACAGCAATGTAGTTAACCCTTAACTGCCCTCAGGCCAATTAGAAATGGGAATTAAAAAAGGACTAGCCAGCAATGCCCACATTTCTCTAAATGAAGTTTAAAAATCATTCTATCCTGTTCAGCTATTTAAAACCAAATAGCTTTGACATGCAACTACAAATGTTTTGGTCCACATTGGGAATCCTGCACTGAAGAGAGGGGTCTTGAAGTAAAAGATGACATGAGGTAAGGGAGAATATAAGCTAAAACTTTGACAACTTCAATCCAGAAATAGTCTTACATGCTTCTTTCTACAGAAGTGAGGACAGTCTACGGTGGCTCGGTAGTCAGTACTGCTGCCTCACCACACCAGGGGTCTGGGTTCAATTCCACCCTCGGGTGAATGTCTGTGTGGAGTTTGTATGTTCCCCTTGTGTCTTTGTGGGTTTCTTCTGGATACTCTAGTTTCCTCCCATGGTCCAAAAATGTGCCAGTAAGGTGTACTGGCTATGGGAAATTGCCCTGTGGTGTCCATGGATACGTAGATTAGCCATGGGAAATGCAGGGTTATAGGAATGTGGTAGGGGGGCAGATCTGGGTGGAATCCTTTTCAGCAGGTCAATGATGGGCCAAGTGGCCTGCTTCCACACTGTAACGATTCTAAAATTCCATTACAAAGCATTCTCAGGATTCATCTCAAATAAAAGTAAAATGCTGGAGATGCAGAAAAACAGAAAGCATCAGAGGAGCTCCGCAAGTCTGGCAGCATCTGTGGAGAGAAAAACAGAGTTAACATTTTGAGCCTGGTATGACTCTCCTTCAGAACTGTAGACACTGCCAGAGTTGTTGAGTTTCCCCAACCATTTCTGTTTTTAATTCTCTTTCTCACCGTTCTTTTCACAAGAGGTTTTTTGCTGACAACAGATGTTGCTGCTTTTCATATTTCCACCAAGTTTCGACTCCATTTCTTTCCCCTTTCTCTCTTCAGCTGTAGCTGGCTTTTAATTTGCTCGCTTACTGTAAATCAACATTTTTAAGAAAAAAATCCTAGTGGCACCCTGCTGTCAATGCACTTTTTTGTCTGTAAAGTCTGTGTAAATTAGTGCTGGTGCCTTTCTTTCTGATCAGGGAGGCCTAGTTAATAACTGAAGCTCAGTGATGCATGAATGTAGAGCAATTGTGAAGAATGTCATTGGGGTATGACATTAGTGAGTTCATTAGGAACAGGAAAGCTTGTTGTAGTTTCAGAAAGAGCGGCACCACCTAATAATGCAGTAATACATTTAAAGACAGTGTAAAGCACTTACCAGGATGAAATTTAATTAGTTAATAATGGGATTTGATGCACTATTTTCAAACAAAGATGATAGTGATGTTGAACAGGGTCTAAAACAACCAATTTAGTTTCTTATCAGATGGGAGCACAAATAGACTTTTTTTCTCCCCCCACTCGTCAGATTTTCAGTATATAGTAATGAACTATAAAGACATAGCTTTTAAATGTCTCATTTCCTTAGAATGCAGTTACATTGGCTTCACGAAGTATTCAATCACAATGTGCCTGCAATAACAATTGTTTAATACTTTGCGTGCAGCTGAGAAATCATTCTTCTCTTATAAATGTTGGAAAGTTTGTTAAGCCGATTAAGTAGCATGCAGCATTTTGTGGAAAATTGCTAAGTGATCTGTGAAAGAATGCAGACGTGGACATATGTTTAGGCCTAATTCTAACTCTATGCAAGAGAATCAGTTTTGAGTGAATGCAAACCTCACCCAAAACTGCAGATCTTTCTAATAGACCAATGTTGCTGGTGCAAGAGAATATCCTCCTTATGCACAAAGGAAGCAGCAAGAGTGGCAACATGTCATGGTGCCAGCTGTGGTTCAGATGGTAAAAGTCTTGCCTCTGAAGCAGAAGTTTACGAGATCATGTCCCACATGAGGATTTGAGTGTAATAATCCAGGCTGGCACTCCAATATTGTACTAAGGCAGTGCTGTACTGCTTGTGGATGAGATATGAAACTATGTCTCCATTGGCTATCTCAGGTGATTGTAAAAGATCTCATGGCCCTATTTCTAAGGGTGATGAGGTGCATCTACTTGATAATCTGGCCAACACCTATCCCTCAGTCAACATCAGATTATCTGGTCATTATCACTACAAACATTACTGTTTGTAAGAGTTTGCTGTGTGCAAATTGGTTTCCACCTTCTGCACATTACAAGAGTGATTACACGTCAGAAGTTCTTAAATGGTGTGTGTGTCTGTGTTGTGTGTTGGTGTATCTGTGTCTGTGTGTGTGTTTGTCTGTGTTTCTGTGTGTTTATAGCTGTGTATGCGCGTGTCTGTGTTGTGTGTGTGTATCTGTGTGTATGTCTGTGAGTGCATGTGCCTTTGTGTGTGTGTGTTTCTGTGTGTGCCTGTCTGTATATGTGTGTTCTGTGTCTATCTGTCTGTGTGTGAAACTGTGTGTGTGTTTGTATGTGTGTGTGTGTGTGTGTTTGTATGTGTGTGTGTGTCTGTGTCTGTGTGTGCGTATGTGTGTGTGTGTGTCTGTGTGTGTGTGTGTGTTTGTGTGTGTGTGTCTGTGTCTGTGTGTTTGTGTGTGTGTGTCTGTGTCTGTGTGTGCGTGTGTGTGTGTGTGTGTTTGTGTGTGTGTCTGTGTCTGTGTGTGCGTGTGTGTGCGTATGTGTGTGTGTGTGTGTGTGTGTGTGTGTGTGAGTGAGTGTGTGTATTGAAGTGCCTGGATTTTGTAATGTATTCTACTGCACGGAATAGAACCTTTCAAAGAATTTGAAAAATTACTTTTCTAAGCACTATTTCAAGCTGTTCATATGTGGTGTCAAGCAATAGAACATATCATTAATTAAATTATGTAAAATGACATTAAACAAATGATAAACTTTTACCAAAACAGCTGACATGAGTTATGCGGAATAGTCATTCTAACGAATGTCGAGTGCTGTTCATAAATTACATTTAAGGATTTGACATTCAATATTTTCCAGTTCCTGTAGATTGAAGCTTATAATTCAGGCAATGTGCTGTCAATATCAGGGTGCCTTGTTAGGTATCCACAAGCTGTTTGTCCTTTTAACCTGTTATACCTTAATGTGTTGGATTTATAATGTGTTATAATTGTCAGTACTGGATGGTTGTGGTATTTCACTTTGTCCTTGGTGGCTGAAGTTTTTATATACTGTAAGAAAAACTGACTGCAATGTTCCTCAACATAACTGTAATAAGGATTCAGGGCCCCCCATGGTGTTCCTTACTCATTCATACTATATATTAATCAGCATCACTTTGGTGCACAGGGCACAATATCAAAATATGTGGATGACAGGAAACTTGGAAGCATTGTGAACTGTGAGGAAGAGAGTGTAGGACTTGGAAAGGACATTGACAAGTTGGTG